AAAGAACATCCTTACAAAACTTAATTTTAAGTAAAAATAAGTTTAAAAAACTTGATGTACTGTAAATGTGTTAAGAAACAAACGTGTTACAATGGGTTAATGCCTCACTCTACTGGAAACTGGCTTTAATTCTAATGCAAAACAAGTAGAATTAACTGGATGGTCTCACAGCTCATTTGATCACATCATAACTGTTGATTAACTTACAGTAATTAGTTTCCTCTGTTCAAGACAAGAATCAAAACTGAAATAAATGTGGGAGAGGTCACAATTCAAAAGGTACAGAGGTTAAACACAGAGCTACCTAACAGCAAGGTCTCCACAGGCAACCATTCCACGTTCTTTCTTGCAATTTCTTTTTCTTTTCAAGTAATTTGGTATAAAACTGCATCTCTATAAAAGCTGTTTACACAGTATTCTGAAACATGGAGATTTGAAGGTCGTTTCTATTTGCCAGCATTGAAGAACCTCCTTCTCTCAACCTAATCAATAAAAAGCATTTGATAGCTGCAACTATATGACAGAAACAACAGTTTACGTAAACAAGCAGTAAAGTGCTACCGTAAACAAAGACAGAAATTTATGCATCAAGAGTGCCACAATGACTTCAACATAGATAGATCCCCATACCTCCATACACCTCAGCTGCAGGCAATGAAACAACTCACATTTAAAATTAGATATATGCTTAAGCATGTTAAGTGGCCTTCTCAAGCAGGATGCTCATTCTTTCCCAAAAAGAATTTAATAACTGTTTTCATATATGACAATCAGACCAAGAGGTGTTCCCAGTTGTATGACTACAGTAAGAAAAAAACAATTATAATTCCTAAAATGTATATTTAAAAAAAAAAATTATTTCTAATGGGTTAGATAGTACTAAGCACCAAAGTCTACTTTCAAAAAATAAGGAACACTTAAAGAAGCTGAGTGCTAAGTCTTTTGCTGCTGTCTCTGCTAAGAATAGGACCTAAATGAAGGATTTTTTTAACAGTCTGTTTTAAAAACAGAATATAAGCAACTCATAGCTGAAAAAGCCTGTGATTTCCTTCATGACCTACAAACAGATGAATAACACAGAAGAGATGCAGGAGTCTAGAGGCAAGATTTTTTCTTTTGTTACTAATATTTAAAAACAAACCTAGCTTGAAAATGGGCATACCATTTTTTCTTAAGAAAAAAGATGGGGGGGGGAGGGGAGAGAGAGAGAGAGACTGCCAGAAAGAAAACACACACAATCTCTCCACAACTCTGTCTTGAAAAAATGGGTTTATGATGATAGAACCATTTTTAATGGCCAGAAGAGATGCTGCACATCTGAACAACAGAAGCACGAGACCAATGATGACAGTCTAGCCTATGACTATATCAGCACTGCATAAACACCACAACATTTCAGTTCTACTAGAGATGAAATGAGAACAATTTAATCCATCTTCCAAAGCCTCCTTTGGTAGAAAAAAAAACCAACATAAAACCCACTAAAGGACAGTTTACATTTTTCCTACAAGAGAACAGATTCAATCAAGTCACTGACCTCACCATGCTATTGGCAGTGCCCTCCATCTTCCCTCCCTTGTATCTCCACATATTTTGCAGTTTATTCTAGTCTTCTTTCAGTGCATCCTAAATAACATTGTTCTAGTTTGTTTTTAAAACCAATTCAAATCGGTGCCATTGTAAAGCAAGTTTTCCCAGAACAAAAACATCTCTAAAAGCTTCTTTCTATCACTGTATTTTCCTTTCAAGTTCAGCTTATCAGCCTTCATTACCTCCCTCACAGTCTTGAGTCATTGTGGCAACTCATACACATGTAGAAAAGAAAAAGCAAAACGCTTGGAATTCTGAATAGCGTTTTGTGGTAAGCTCCAGTTGCTATAATTAGACAATCCATTTTCTAGATCACAAATACAACTATCAATAGAGATAAGAATGAAAACTAGCATTAAATACATAGAACAAGCCAAATCTAAATGTTTCGTTTCCTTCCCGTCACCTCAAAACGTGCCCTGATTTAACCCTCAGAACTCAAATACACCGGTTGTTTCCATGGTTGTCTTTGCATATAAAATACCTATATAAAATAAACAACAAAGTCAAATCACCTTATTCACGTCACAAAATTAATAATGTATAAAAATAGGCAAAGTAATTACGTTTTCACTTTAAGCAAAAAAAAACCCTATTTTAGAAGCTATGCAGATTCTAGATCACAAAGTAATTAACCTGACCCTTCAAACCAGTCTAACATCATTTCCAGCACCTCAAAAAGACTGACAACCTACAAAAATGTAAAGCTCAACTTCACATTGCAGAGACCTCATTTTCTCCATTTCCTGAGTTAAACTTCTAACATCAATCCAAAAGAAAAGATGAACAACCAGTTCAGATGCTCATCTGTTTTACCCTGCTTAATTTTTTAATAGATTACAGAACTAGGTAACAAGTTCATAAAACAGTCCTAAAAGATCCAAGGACTAGAACATGAAGCTTCTTAGTTCCCCTAAATATAGCAGCACTCACATGGCTATCACTAAGACCATATTAGCTTTTCTATGCTAAAATACCTCCTAACCCTTTCCCCCCAAAAATTTAGATTGTGCTATAAATACTCGGTCTTACACGAAATATGGCATGTAACATCTCAAACCTAGAACAGCTTAAATAAAAATACACATCCATGGATGCTCTTCAAAACTAAGAGCGCTTCACATACAGCAGCTTTCAGAACTCCCTGGTGTAAAATTGGTGGTGTTTTCCCTACTGTTCAAATAGGGAAGCTGAAAAAAACTGAGCTGAAAGCACTTCAACATTGAGTCACTGACAGAGGCAGGGGCACAGCATACAATTTCTGGCTGCCAGCCTTCCGCTTCTGCCACTACTCCTCATGTCTCCGACTTTAAAACCACATATAACCTCCTTCTAATCAACCACCACTTGCATTGTTTCCCCTTTTGGGGAGACAGATATGCAAGGTCACAATTACACCAAAGAACAGGGTACCCTTAGTAACGTCACTGCACCCGAGCGCTGGAAGGTACGCTACCTCTGTAAGAGCCTGATTTCTCAACAGAAATGCCAGAGACCACTGGTTTCCCTAGGAGGGCTGGCTTTCAGAAGAGACAACTCCTGTGAGTGTTTGCAGGATAAAGACATCATTCACACAGACACTTCCAACGGCAGGTACTAGAAACCGTTGCTCTTGCATTTCACCTCACAAACCCTCTTGAAAAAACTCTCAGGGTAGAAGTCCGGAGAGCAGAGCTGGGAGCAGACAGAGGACTCGGGCAACTCAGCCTTGAAAACAGGAGGGAACTGGTCTCATCTGAAGCTCGAGAGTCCTGCTAAGGCACAGTTGGAGCATGAGCGCAGAAAAGTAGCAGGAAAAACAGGCCAGCAAGAACCCTTATTCCAGCCTTTCCAAAACAGTGTATTGTTTCCGTTAGTAGCCTGTAAAATTTATTACAGAAATCTTCATGTACTGTCAGAGCCTTGGAACGATGCATTTATCCATCAAACAACTACCACTGCACCAGCACCCGATACGATGGGTCCCGAACACACTGTTACTCTGATCATATTGATATGGTTAACTTTTTTAAAATTATTATTTACAGGATATCAGCTGGCTAGATCCACTGCAGACTACACTAAGTTCTCGCATACAAAATACCCCTGGAGCCACCATATCTTCCCAATCTTTCACAGCTTCTGTATGCCACAGTGACAGTTTTGGAGGGAATATTCTTCAGAAGTACTTTTAATTACTATTTCCTCCTTAGCTAGAATACATTAATTATAGCCTGTTCCTCCAAATAATAAGAAAACAAAGATCAGTGCAATATGAACAGTACAAGAAACTTAATTACTGAGTCAGATGTCCTTTAGATGTCAGTATGACCACAGTGAGGAGCAGGAAAATAAAGCACATACATATCAGTCTCAAGTTGTTAGATCAGTTATCAAAACAATGTCTTTCCTCAGTAACTTCATTATGAAGAGCTCAACCAGCTAATTAATCAGACGCCTGTTACGCGTTTCGAAAATGTGCTTTTTTTTTTTAATAAAGGAGACCTGCTGATGTATTTATTACAAAGCAAATGTGGTAAGTGGTTCTGCATGTAAATGCAGAAGTGCAGCATGACTTTGAAGTTTGAAGGTCAGATACAGTAACCGTTCTCATCAAGGTTCTTATGTCAGACTGCATCTTCTGTTTTGCATCTATATTTAGGAGGAGGAAGAAAACAAATTAAAAAGAAAAACATAGAGACAACCAGTTCTGTGACAACTTAAGAAGAACTGGAACACTATCAGTCACCTGTTTTCATTTAAAAATCTGCAAATACCCTATCTCCCCAAAACGAAGAAAGAAAATGGAAGGGGTGCTGGGGGGACACACAATTTCATTCTGCTTTTCAACTTTGTTTTCCTCATCAGGAAAATCAATCTAATTAAGTCAGCAATGATTTTATGTTAAAGAAGAGAACGTCGTTTTCTCCATTTTCACAGACATTTCAAAGACAGACATCATTTAAGAGAGCCAGAGGATTTTGTTGTTGATCCACACCTTTTATTTTAAAGCTGTATAAATTTGACTGCAGATGCAAATCAGAGGATTGTGTACTGATCTTTTCTCCAGGCAGAGAATTTAGCCATCACCCTTCTATATTCCCAGCAACTTTAGGATACAAAACTCAACAGCTGGGCCCGAAGGCAAACAAATATGCCTCATGTACCAGAGCGTGATCCATGTCAAAAAAGAAAAAAAGAAAAAAAAAAAGGATAATGTATGTTTTACACGCATACCTCAAAGACGAATAACCAATATGGATTTCTTTTTAGCACCACCACCACCATGTTTAAACACAGCAAAACTGATAACACTTCCCAGTAAAACACCGAGTTATAAACAATCCCCTCTTACACATAAATAACAGATATTATACAAAGCAGACAGAAACACGGACGGATGTACACAAAATAAACACATTCAAACTTACCCCACTCTAGATACTCAAGGATGTTCTTCTCTCTTCTCAGAGGGGAATTATTACATTCATCATAAAGGCAGATGAGTATATCCAGCAAGGTTTCCACGCTGAAGCATTGCCCATTAGTCTGAGTTGGCCCATCCAAAATAAACTGCTCCAACTGCTTCAAACGCACTTCTCCAGACATGGTTGTTTCAGTTTGCATTGGGGTTTCTTTTTTAAAGATTATTATTACTTTGCCAAAAAAAAAAAACCAACAAAAAAATAAAAGAAAAAAATCTTTTGAGGGTTTTGTTGTTTAAAAAGAAGTCAACAGTATTTTTAACAAGTGTCAAACTGTGGCGGTGCTTAATTTCCAGCCCACCTCGGTGTTCCCAGCCTGAAACTAAACCCTTGTGAGTTTCAGACACGCACATATAGTGTGCATATCTGTGTACGCGTAATTTTTAAGAGAAGAAAATAGTTACACTAAAAAAAAATAAAATCTTTTAATATGCTTAATAAGAAGGAAAAATAACAACCGTATGGCCGCTCCTGATGCTTTAATAATAATAACTGCACTCAAATTCAACCCAGACTGACTGACACCGATTTCACCGTGCGTGCACAGGCATACGCACTTATGTATTTTAAAAGGTCTTCTCCTTCATTCAAAATGCAGATCATGCAACACGATCCTGAGAGGAGCCCCACCGCATCATTAAAGTGGAACAGCCCCCTTCGGCTCGCACCAGCGTTTCACTTCCCAGAACGGATGGGAAGGGAAAAACGTACGTATTTATACATTTATATACGCGAAAGGAAAAAGAAAACAGGGCGCACGCCGGCGAGGAGGGAGGGAGGGAGGGAGGGAGGGGGCCGCGCAGCCCCGCCGCCC